CCCGTAGTGCCCCTCCTAGGCCCCGTCGCGCCCCTCCTGGGCCCCTCCTGGGCCCCGTAGTGCCTCTCCTGGGCCCCGTAACGCCCCTCCTGGGCCCCGTAACGCCCCTCCTGGGCCCCATAGCGCCCCTCCTGGGCCCCGTCAAGCCTTTAGGCCCCGTCGCGCCCTGCCCGGCCCCGTCGCCCCATGCCCGGCCCCGTCGCACCTGCCCGGCCCCGTCGCACCCGTCCGGCCCCGTTGCACCCTGCCCGGCCCCGTCGCAGCCGCCCGGCCCCGTCGCACCCGTCCGGCCCCGTCGCGCCCGCCCGGCCCCGTTGCGCCCCTCCTGGGCCCCGTAGTGCCCCTCCTGGGCCACCGTCACGCCTGCCGGCCCCGTCGCACCCGCCAGGCCCCGTCGCACCGGCCCGGCCCCGTCGCACCCGCCCGGCCCCGTCGCACCCGCCCGGCCCCATCGCGCCCGCCCGGCCCCGTCGCACTCGCCCGGCCTTGTCGCACCTGCCCGGCCCTGTCGCGCCAGCCCGGCCCCGTCGCACCCGCCCGGCCCCGTTGCACCGGCCCGGCCCCGTCGCACCCGCCCGGCCCTGTTGCGCCCTGCCCGGCCCCGCCGCGTCTGCCGGGCCCCGCTGCACCGGCCCGGCCCCTGCGCTCATCCCTGCCCCGGCCCCTTCATCCTCACTGGTACGGTTCCCCCAACCCCCCCCTCCCTGCACCGCCCTGCTCCGCACTGCACTGCCTTGCACCGCACTGCACCGCCCTGCACCGCCCTGCACCGCCCCGCACCGCACTGCACTGCCCTGCCCCGCACTGCACCGCCCTGCACTGCTCTGCTTTGCACTGCACTTCACTGCACCGTACTGTCCCGTCCTGCACTGCCCCTGATGGCGGCGGAGATTCGCTTCGACGCTGAAGGCCAGCCTCTGGAGTTCGAGGCGTGGCTTGCCGACCTCCGGCGCCAACTCACTGGCCAGCGGCAGGATGGTGAACCGCTTTCCGCACACCTTGACGGTACGCTCCCCTGCCCAGACCCCCCTGCTATTCTGCCCGCTGACTCCACACCCACTGAGCGCGAGTCTACTGCTACCACTGCCCGTGAGCGCTCTCTGTGGCTTTCTCGCGATGCTGTCGCCCAGCTTGCCATTAGCAACGCCCTTCCCCCGTCCGAGCGCCCTCGCTTTAGGTCCCTCGCTACTGCTCAGGCATACTTAGATGCTGTCATCAAGCACTATTCCACCCCTCCGGCTGCCTCGGTGGGTCGCCTGATCCTCCCGCTGCTCTTTCCTGACCTTGCATCTTTCCCCACTGTCTCTGACCTCGCTGCCCACCTGCGCTCGATAGATGAGACCTGGCGCGCTGCCTGCACTGACGCACAGCTTAGAGCCCACCAGCCGCCCATTACCTCTACCCTTTACCTCCTTGCCACCCGCCTCCCTGACTGCATTGCTGTCGCCCGCGACCGCTTTCTTAGCATTCACCCCGCAGACCTCACCCTCACTGACTTTGTAGACACCCTGACTGTGATTGAGACCCGCCACCGCTCCATCGCCCAGGCAAGCGGTACCGTGCCGGTCCCTATCTTTCAGGGTTGTGCCCCCGCTCAGTGTACCTTCTCCGACGGCTCTGCCGCAATGGCTGAGACTGCTGCTGCAGCGTAGTTTCGTTTGGGGAAGGGCCGCCGCCCCAAGGTTGGGCGCGGCGGAGGAGGCGGAGGTGCGGGAGGGGGTGGTGGTGGAGTCGGGTCGTCTGGTGCTGGAGCGCACGAGGGGACCCTGCCCAGTCCAGCTGAGCCGCCGCCCCTGCAGTTGCAGCAGCCGCAGCAGCCGCCGCAGTCGCACCCTTCGCAGCAGCCGCAGCAGCCGTCGCAGACGCGGCAGACGAGTGTCCTCCCGCCCGGGTGGCCCGCCGCTGGCGGTGGCCGGGCGAGTGGTGGTGTGCCGAGTGGTGGCTCTGGAGGCGGGCGTTGTCAGTACCAGATCCAGACCGGTCCTCGCCGCGGCTTCGTCTGCGGTAAGATCGGTCACTCCACTCCCCACTGTTTTCGTCGCCTGGACGACCTCTTTCGTCAGCGCTTCGGCCCGTCGCCAGATCTCCCGGACTGGCACAGTTTGCTTAGTCGTAAGATTCAGATTTTTGACATGGACATGGATGCCATTGTTTTTGCTCTGCATGTGATGTATGCTGATGACTCTAGTGTGCTTCCCGCTTATTACTCCCTGTCGGCTAGTGTAGGTGTGCCTAGCTTAGCCTCCCCTGCTGCGTCAGGCGTAGGATCCCCTGCTTTGTGTAGTCTTGGTGCTTCCGCCGTCGTTCCGTCGCCAGACGCCTCTGCTTCGCTTTCCTTCACCTTGGACTCTGGCGCTTCCCGGTGTTTCTTCCGCGACTTTACCACCCTGACACCGCTTCCTGTTCCTGCTGCCGTTTCTCTTGCTGACCCCTCCGGCGGTCCGGTAGTCGCCCGCAGTTCCACCACCCTTCCCTGTCCGGCGGTTCCTTCGGGCACTCTCACAGGTCTGCATATCCCCTCGTTCTCCAGGAACCTAGTTGGTGTCGGCTGCCTCCAGGACCTTGGCGTCGCCACTACGTTCCCTGGTCACGAGCGGTATGCTGTCTCTACCGAGGCTGCCACTGGTGCCCCCCTGTTCACGTTCCCCCGGGACCCGGTGTCCGGCCTGTTCACTCTGGACACCGTGACCCCCCCGGCTGGAGCGCTCACCCAAGTTGCTGCTGCCTGCTCCTGTCGGTCCCTCACTCACCCGACTCTCCTTTGGCACCACTGCCTAGGTCACCCTGCGCTCCCGCGTCTGCGTCACATGTCCCAGCACGGTCTTGTCCTTGGTCTCCCAGGTTCCCTCCCCGCGTTTCCCTCCTCCCCAGCCCCACCTTGCACGCCTTGTGTTGAGGGTCGGCTTCGCCGTGCCCCGCACTCCTCCTCGTTTCCCCCTACCGCCGCGCCGCTGCAGACCCTGCACCTGGACGTCTGGGGCCCCGCCCCTGTCCCTGGACCGCGTCGAGAGCGCTACTTCCTTGTGCTTGTCGACGACTTCACTCGTTACACCACAGTCTTTCCCCTGGAGCGCAAGGCCGACGTGCCTGGCGCTCTCATCTCTTGAGGGTGACCCAGACGCTTTCGACATTCCGACCCCTCGCACTTACGCTGAGGCGACTTCGGGACCCTGGGCCTCGCAGTGGATAGCTGCCATGGAGCAGGAGATGGCATCTTGAAGATCCACCGGCACCTTCGTCGACGCAGTTCCCCCGCCTGGGGTGAACGTAGTCGATGGCCGCTGGCTCTTCAAGGTGAAGCGCCCTCCTGGAGAGCCGCCTGTCTTCAAGGCGCGCTACGTGGCTAGAGGCTTCAGTCAGTGTGAGGGGGTGGACTTCTTCCAGACCTTCGCTCCGACCCCGAAGATGACTACTCTTCGGGTTCTGTTACACCTAGCTGCTCAGCGTGACTACGAGCTTCACTCCCTCGACTTCTCCACTGCCTTCCTTCAGGGCAGCCTACACGAGCAGGTCTACTTGCGTCGCCCTCAGGGCTTGACTGGCACCTTCCCTCCTGGGACCCAGTAGCTCCTGCGGCGCCCCGTCTACGGCCTGCGCCAGGCTCCCCGTGAGTGGCACGACACTCTCCGTGCTACGCTTGCTCACCTGCAGTTCTTTCCGTCTTCCGCAGACCCCTCACTCTTCATTCGTGCTGGCCAGACTCTGTTCTACATCCTTGTTTATGTCGACGACCTGGTCTTTGCCACAGCAGACAGGGACGCACTGGCCTCCGTGAAGGCAGAGCTGCTGAAGAGACACACGTGCACTGACCTTGGAGAACTGCGCCGCTACCTTGGCTTGCAGATCTCCAGGGACAGAGCATCGCGCACCATCACCCTGACTCAGTCACACTTGGTGCGTCAGGTCCTTCAGAGGTTCAGCCTTCAGTTCTCCTCTGCACAGCCCACCCCTCTGCCTGTAGACCACTGACTCTCCGCTCCAGTGTCTGAGGAGTCGGTAGAGCCTAGCGGCCCCTACGCAGAGCTGGTGGGTTGCCTCATGTACCTGATGACTTGCACTCGCCCAAATCTCGCATACCCTCTCAGCATCCTGGCTCGCTTTGTGGCCACAGGTAGACACCGACCGCAGCACTGGTCTGCCGCTAAGAGGGTTTTGCGTTATCTTGCTAGTACATCGGGCATGGGGTTAGTGCTAGGAGGACGCAGGCTAGTGGTCCTTAGTGGACACACAGACGCTTCGTGGGTAGACGACGCCAAGACACTCTGGTCTACCCAGGGTTACTGCTTCAGCCTTGGCTCAGGTGCCGTCTCGTGGAGAGCTACCCGCTCCTCGTCTGTTGCCCAGTCCAGCTGTGAGGCTGAGATCTACGCCGGTGCCATGGCGGCACAGGAGCTCCGCTGGCTGACCTTCTTGCTCACTGACTTAGGTGAGCGGCCTAGCTCTGCCCCGGTCCTGTTCGCTGACAACAGGGCCATGATCCTCCTGTGTCAGGAGCCTCGACTCGAGGGCAGAGCGAAGCATATTCAGCTGCGGTACTTCCTCCTGCGTGAGCTACAGCAGCGACGTCAGGCTCGCGTAGTACACTCGGCCTCAGGTGCCAACATAGCTGATATCTTTACGAAGGCGCTTGCGCCTAAATATCATCAGCGGCACTGTGTACAGCTTGGTCTAGTTCCTGTAGCCTCTCACTTGCTAGGGCCTTGACTTTGTACTGTCCTTTATATGTATACTCAGACTGGACTTGTGTCCTCTCCCAGTGGCTGGACTAATAGTGCCGCCCTGGTCTTGTTCTTGCCTTGTCTGTACTCCTTCTGACTGGTCACTTAGACCCTTGTCTCAGAGGTCGGACTAGTAGTGCCGCCCTGAGCTGCTTGTTTAGGACATTCCCCTATGCAGTCTAGGGGGTGTGTCAAACATGTGTATCTCCTATGTTTGCATAGACTGTATAGGGTCACCTCTTAGAGGGTACAATACTTAGTTATATCTATCTGTACTCTCTCTCTACCTAATCATTCACTTCTCTCAGTTTGATACATGCGACCAAAAGGAAATTCGTCACCAGCATTTCTATGTGCCGTATAGAGTTGCTAGGTGCATACTGTAATTGAAACATCCCCAATAGTTGGCCCCTGTTTTGTTTCTGCTTGACACCCACTTTTCCTTTCTTGTAATAACCACCTCCATCACGTCCAGAAACAACCACCTATATCAAGATAGTTCTCGTCCTACAGTATCTTGCAGAACATCAGGAACACTATAGCGGATATTGTTCAAAGGAACGTCAAAGTCAACAGCATATGCCGACTCCACGAGCTTGATCGTTTCCTACGCATAACAAGGGAATGGAGCATGAGAGATACCTAGTGTTGAGACAACGTGCAGAACAGTCTGCTGAGGCATGTGGAGAAAAAGGAGAGTTAGTGTACAATTCCTGTCCCAGAAAAACGCGTTCAAAAGCGTGCTGGAAAGGTCCGACGGTCCAAACTCGTACAAGCCAATCATAGTGCCTCGATAAAAAACGTGAAATTTGGATGTTAATCGAGCGTAAGCAGTAATTTCGTAACATAGCACTGCAACTGCATCAAGCCACCTCAACTGAATACGCACTACGGCTGGCCAATCGACTGGGACGTGAATTGATTGGGACCGGAATGTACCCCTGATTTCAACAGAAACAGCTTAGCACAGTCCTTCACTTACCACAGGGCTAATAATTACCAGCTTCAGGAAATCTCTACAACTCAGGCAGAGGAGAACTTGGGGCATGTCGAAGGAAAGTTTGAGACGTCCCAAGGGCAGAGCATTTGTGTGCGGATGGAAACCAGTCAGGGAAGCCAGGGAATCACCGCAGTGGACCAATCCGTTGCCATTTCCGGTCCACACACAATCAACCTGCTAGGCCATACCGGGTACGTTATCGAATCGAGCCCTTGTGCTGGCCGTGCATGCTGCTCCGTACCTTATCAAATGCAGCGCGCATGCGTTGCTCCGCCCGTGTCTTGTGGAACTGGGAGCCCAGCTTGAAAATCTCCATGGCCCTCTCTGTTGACCGGTTCAGCCGCGTCACCACCCGCTGCACGTCCTCTTGTAGGTTCTCGTACCTCCCCACAATGTCATATTTCATCATGTCCAATCCGCACAGTTGTAACTGCTTGGGGAGTGGTTGAGGGAAGGAACAGGGAGGGGGCTTACGGGAGAAAGCAGATCACCACTACGCTTAGGAAATGATGTCATGGCATTTACAGAGCGAGGGGCTAATGACAAAAGAAGTGAAGCTAGGGGCACTAGGCTACTGGCGATTCGCTCCTCACTAGGCTACTGGTGCTCCGCTCCTCACTAGGCTAATCGCCCATCGCTAGTGAGGAGCGGAGCGGAGCGCACGTCCATGTCTTAGGAGCAGCGGTGAATCCGACCATGTTGCACTGCACCGGGCAATAATGCATCCCATAAGGTGCTGTTCAACCCCATGTCACCTGACTGGCAATGTGGTGATCCCCATTGCCGCCCGTCTCTCTCAGTATCTCAGCAGCCATGTGAGCCGCAACCTTGAAGCTCACACTGCTGCTTGGCTCAAGCCCCCAACGCTGCAACCGGTCTCGGCCAAATATGAGCTGCAGGGAAAAGGGAGGTAAGGCAGAAGTGATGCAGGAAAGGCATTTGAGGCCTATGCAGGAAGGTGGCCTTAGGGCATAGCAGCAGAGCAGAGCAGAGCACAACACAACCCCACACCACACGGCACAGCACAGCATAACACGAAGCAGAGTATGTTACCTTGACCAGAATGCCCCTCCAGACACCTGATTCCTTACCCGGCTCCAGTAGGGTAGCAGCACCGCACCTCTCTCCACAAGCTGCCACAGCACCGCACCTCTAATCTCCCATACCAGTGCAACAGCCCACCCATGCTAACAGACGTGTGAGGTGATGCAGAGCAACGCAGCAACCCACCCACCCACCCACCTGGTTCCACATGGTCACGTCGTGGCTCTCCACGCCATTCACCAGCTTGTCCCCGTGCGCCGACAGCAACCGATTTTTGAGGTGCTTGAAAACGTTCCTAAAAAGTCATCCGCGAGAACCGTCATGAGGAGCTTCAGAAGCCGGCTTGTGAGGCGCCTCAAAATGCGGCACCTCACCTCGATCCCCCCACAATAATGTAGCAACCCACCCACCCACCTCGTTCCACATGGTGACATTGCGGCTCTCCCCGCCGTTCACCAGCTTGTCCCCATGCGCCGACAGCAGGCGCGGCAGCGGGTTGCGCACAAACACAAACTTGAGCAGGTCCCTCCTGGTGAGGTGGTACACCACCTCGTCCTCCCCCATCCCGCGCCGCATGAGCGTGAGCCCGCTCACAGGTGCGTGGTGCGTGTGGAAGTAGGAGGCAACGTTCTTAAAGCCCCGCTCGCTGCGCATCCACATCTTCCAGCTGGTGCCGGCCACCTTCTCCACCTGGCAGTACATCAGCCCCAGCTTCTCTGCAGGGGACAGGGGGACAGGGGGATGGGGGGATGGGGAGATGGGGGGAAGGGTGATTGGGGGAATGGGGGTTTGGGGAAGGGGGAGAAGGGGGTTGCACAACTGACGGTGAGTGAAGGGTGGAGGTAGGAGGTGCCGTCCTTAAAGCTCCGCTCAGTCCGCTGCCACGTATTCTGGCTCGTGTGGGTAACTTCCTTCCGCCTGGCGACTTTCCTCACGAAGTACTTCAATTCATTGAGCTGCTCAGTTCAATTCAATTCGTGATGTTTATCTGCTAAGGAGCCTCAAGAAATAAGAACATACATCTCCCAACATCCAACTTACTACCGTCCATCTCCCATCGTCCATCTCTCAGTGTCCACCTTCCACCGTCCACCGTCCATCTCTCACCTTCCAACTCCCCAGTCCATCTCCCACAGTCCATCTCTCACCGTCCATCTCTCGCCCTCCATCTCTCGCCCTCCATCTCTCGCCCTCCATCTCTCGCCCTCCATCTCTCGCCCTCCATCTCTCGCCCTCCATCTCTCGCCCTCCATCTCTCGCCCTCCATCTCTCGCCCTCCATCTCTCGCCCTCCATCTCTCGCCCTCCATCTCTCGCCCTCCATCTCTCGCCCTCCATCTCTCGCCCTCCATCTCTCGCCCTCCATCTCTCGCCCTCCATCTCTCGCCCTCCATCTCTCGCCCTCCATCTCTCGCCCTCCATCTCTCGCCCTCCATCTCTCGCCCTCCATCTCTCGCCCTCCATCTCTCGCCCTCCATCTCTCGCCCTCCATCTCTCGCCCTCCATCTCTCGCCCTCCATCTCTCGCCCTCCATCTCTCGCCCTCCATCTCTCGCCCTCCATCTCTCGCCCTCCATCTCTCGCCCTCCATCTCTCGCCCTCCATCTCTCGCCCTCCATCTCTCGCCCTCCATCTCTCGCCCTCCATCTCTCGCCCTCCATCTCTCGCCCTCCATCTCTCACCCTCTGTCTCTCACCCTCCGTCCCTCGCCATCCATCTCTCGCCATCCATCTCTCACCGTCCACCTTCCACCGTCCATCTCTCACCGTCCATGATCATCTGCTGCACCAGGCGCAAGCTGGCCAGCAGCGGCAGCACGGGCGACGGACACACGGCAGGCTCCTCCACAGCAGGTGGGGAGTGGGGCCCTCGCGCGGCAGGGGCGAGGGCGGAGAGGAGGAGAGACTCCAGGGAGGCTTGGCGGAGGGAGAAGCGGGAGGGCGCGTGGGCAAGGGCTAGCAACTCCACCAGCTGGGGGGTGTGGTGGGTTGGGGTGGGGCAGGAGGGGGGAGGTGGGAGGGGGGAGGTGGTGTTGGTTGGGAAGAAGGGATGGGGGGTGGGGGGGTAAGAAAACGAAAGGAAGGAGTGATAACGGGTGTACTTTTGTGAGGAATGAGACGCATTGTGTTGGCAGGGGGGACATGCCAAGGCGCTCTTGATTGCTGCTCACACCCTACCTCACTCCCCTTTACCTCACCTCACTCCCCTCTGCCTCACCTCACTCCCCTCTGCCTCACCGCACTCCCCCCTGCCTCACCCCACTCCCCTCTGCCTCACCGCACTCCCCCCTGCCTCACCGCACTCCCCTCTGCCTCACCGCACTCCCCGCTGCCTCACCACACCCCCCTCTGCCGCACCACACTCCCCTCTGCCTCACCGCACTCCCCACTGCCTCACTGCACTCCCCTCTGCCTCTCCACCCACCTCCAACTCCGCACATTGCTCCTTTCTCCCCTGTCCAAACACCCCCTGCAGCCACCACCTTCCCCATCCGCCCCTCCCCAGTTGGCCCCTTTCCAGCACATTCCCCAACCATCCGCTCCTCCTACCCCACATCTTGCTCCCCCCTCCTCTGCCAATCCTTCCCCATATGTTCATTCCCCCCACTCCCCCAACCTCTCCCCACACGTTCCACCCCCATCCGCCCCCCCACCGCTGTGCTCCACACCCCAGCTCCCCCCTCCTCCTTGTCGCTTCAAGCACCAGTGGGGCCCGCGATTCATGGAACATGCCAGCTGCAGTTAGGGCGGCAGCTGGCACTGTAGCGGCTACAGTGAAGTCGCGGTCCGGGTGGCGCAGGGCAGAGTAGGCGATTCGGCGGGCGGCGCATGAGGAGAGGGAGTGGGTAAAGGGGCGGGTGCGGCAGTTGGTGCAGGAGGGGGGGATGAGGAGGGAGAGGTTGGCGGGGCAGCCGGGGCAGGAATCCAGAGGGGTGTTCTGATTCATGGCCGGAGGGAGAAACATGGGAGAGGGGGGAGGGAAGAGGGGTATGAAGGACATGGGGGGCGGGTGTGGCAGTTGGTGCAGGACGGAGGGTGGGGGGATGGGGAAGAGGAGAGGGAGAGGCTGGCCAGACAGCGGGGGCAGGAATCCAGAAGGGAGGGGAAGGGGGGAGGGGAGGGGGGGATGATAAGAAGGGTGAGGTCCCGGAAAGCATGTATGGCAGGTGGTGCAGGACAGGTGGTGCAGGACAGGTGGTGCAGGACAGGTGGTGCAGGACAGGTGGTGCAGGACAGGTGGTGCAGGACAGGTGGTGCAGGACAGGTGGTGCAGGACAGGTGGTGCAGGACAGGTGGTACAGGACAGGTGGTGCAGGACAGGTGGTGCAGGACAGGTGGTGCAGGACAGGTGGTGCAGGACAGGTGGTGCAGGACAGGTGGTGCAGGACAGGTGGTGCAGGACAGGTGGTGCAGGACAGGTGGTGCAGGACAGGTGGTGCAGGACAGGTGGTGCAGGACAGGTGGTGCAGGACAGGTGGTGCAGGACAGGTGGTGCAGGACAGGTGGTGCAGGACAGGTGGTGCAGGACAGGTGGTGCAGGGGGTGCAGGACAGGTGCTGCAGGACAGGTGGTGCAGGACAGGTGCTGCAGGACAGGTGGTGCAGGACAGGTGCTGCAGGACAGGTGGTGCAGGACAGGTGGTGCAGGACAGGTGCTGCAGGACAGGTGGTGCAGGACAGGTGGTGCAGGACAGGTGCTGCAGGACAGGTGGTGCAGGACAGGTGCTGCAGGACAGGTGGTGCAGGACAGGTGCTGCAGGACAGGTGCTGCAGGACAGGTGGTGCAGGACAGGTGGTGCAGGACAGGTGGTGCAGGACAGGTGGTGCAGGACAGGTGGTGCAAGACAGGTGGTGCAGGACAGGTGGTGCAGGACAGGTGCTGCAAGAGAGGGGGTGGGGAGGGAACGATTGACAGTAGGCCATCCAGGGGAAAAGTCCTGTAGCTACGAGGGACCCGTACAGTTGCAGGGGAAAATTTCAGCGCTACACAATTGCCCACCTCAAGGAAAACAGCCGTGGATCGCTGCACACGTGGCAGATCCTCTGCTGCCAGCTGGCGGAGGACGCGCTGAGCTGGACGCAGCGTTTGCAGGCTGGATGCCAAGTCAGATGCGGACCAGCAGAGGTGGGCCTGCAGAGGGATAGGTGGGGATGGGGGGAGAGAAGGGGGAGGGAGGTGGAATGGGGAAGGGAGGGATTGGGGAGAGGAAAGGGAGACTATTTTTGAGGCGAATCAAAAATGTTGACAAACGGCCAGCGGAGGGAGGCGTGGGGGGGACGGGGGGAGGAGAGGTGGGGGGGGCGGGGAGGGGGATAGGGGGGTCGACGAGATGTGCGAGGTTTGGTTGAAGGAGCGCTGGAAGCAGTCGTAAGGCGAGACAACACACATCAATTTCCTGGTGTATTTTCACACTCCAAGACAGAAATTTGATTTTCGCTGCTCTTATAGTAGCCCCACGGGCCACGCCACACATACCCATCCACTTGCTGCCAGAGCGCGGTCAGATAACAGCAATCTGACAGACACGCCGTTCCCACTGCTGCATGCTGCTGCGTCTACTTCTTCTACTTCTACTTCTGCTGCTTCTGTTTCTGCTTCTGCTGCTGGTGCTGCTCTCAGTCCTGGTGCTCTTGCCTCTCTGCCTTCACGTGTGCTGCACTCGCCAACGCACACCTGTGCCGTCGGGAGGCCGAGGGGGGGGGGGGGGGGCGAGGCAGGTTGGTTTACGAATCCAGGGGTTGGGATGGGCTACAAGGAATTGGGATGAGTTACAAGGGGTTGGGATGAGTTACAAGGGGTTGGGATGAGCTTCAAGGGGTTGGGATGAGCTTCAAGGGGTTGGGATGAGCTTCAAGGGGTTAAGATGAGCTTCAAGGGGTTTCGGGTTTAGTTGACCGATCTTGTTACCACATACTAGCTCAGGGTGAGCACGCGACTCACCTCTCTGTAAGAAAGAGCAGCTTCTGGTGCTTGCTCCAGCACGTCGGCTACGCACGACATTGTAACGTCGTCCACAGTAGACCTGAAAATGGGAAGGGTGAGGGCACAGCAGCACAGCAGCACAGCGGGCACAGCAGCACAGCAGCACAGCAGCACAGAAGCACAGCAGCACAAGTTTGAGAGGGCTGCAGAAGCAGCGGCAGCGGCAGCGGGGAAGCAGCAGCAGCAGGAGTACTACAGACGGCAGAAAGGGTGGGCGCTGGGGCTGCTAGCTACACAGCACTAATGGTTCTCTTGCCATGAGAAAGAAAAAGCCGAGCTGTGTGCAGAGTTGCTCAGGGCTTTCGCTTGTGAGCATTGAGAAGTCGCACACGGAACCTTCGGCATTTGGGTATTGGGTGCGTGCCTTTGGGTATTGGGCGCGTACCTTGGGGTATTGGGCGCGTACCTCGGGGTATTGGGCACGTACCTTGGGGTATTGGGCGCGTACCTCGGGGTATTGGGCGCGTACCTTGGGGTATTGGGCGCGTACCTCGGGGTATTGGGCACGTACCTTGGGGTATTGGGCGCGTACCTCGGGGTATTGGGCGCGTACCTTGGGGTATTGGGCGCGTACCTCGGGGTATTGGGCACGTACCTTGGGGTATTGGGCGCGTACCTCGGGGTATTGGGCGCGTACCTTGGGGTATTGGGCGCGTACCTCGGGGTATTGGGCACGTACCTTTGGGTATTGGGTGCGTACCTCGGGGTATTGGGCGCGTACCTTTGGGTATTGGGTGCGTGCCTTTGGGTATGCGGCAGAGTGAGGAGCGAGGAGAAGGAGGAGCCGCCGGGTTGACTGTCCTGCACCCAGAGCGCCTTGGTGGAGAGCCCCGCCGCCGTGGCTGTTGCTCGGACCCCTGCCAGCGACACCAGGCGTGCTGCGATGCTGCCCTGGTGGCGATTGTGTGGGGGGGGGGGGGGGGGGGGGGGGGGAGGGGGAGGGTGGGGGAAGGAGGAGGGGAAAGGGGGGGGAGGAATGAGGGTGGGAGGCGGGATTGGGCGAGCAAAGGAACGCGTCTCAACACACGTCTTCGCCACCGTGGCTGGGGCTCCGACCCCGCCACAGACACCATGGGTGCTGCGGTGCTGCCCTGTGGGGATTGGGGAAGTGGGGAGGGAGGGGAGGGGAAGGGGGTTTTGGGGGGGGGGGGGGAGTAATGGGGGTGGGGAACGGGAGTGGGGGGGGAATGGGGGTGGGGAAGGGGAGTGGGGGAGTGGTGGGATGAGGGAAAGGCCCATGAGTCTATGACACGAGGCGTGCTGCTGCCCCGCTTCCCTGGGCGAGGCAGAGAGAGGGCAGAAGGCGATGGCACTACACGCCGCATATCACGTCGAATGAGACAGACGGCACAGATGACAGACGGCACAGATGACAGACGGCGAAGATGACAGACGGCACAGATGACAGACGGCACAGATGACAGAAGGACGCAGAAGGCAACATGGCGAGAGCAAGGTGAACGCGAGGAGCCATGTGTGAGGAGCCATGTGTGAGGAGCCATGTGTGCGGAGCCATGTGTGCGGAGCCATGTGTGCGGAGCCATGAGCGAGAAGAGATAAGCGAGCGAGGCGGTCGCCAGGCCCGGGCCGGGCCGCACCTCCACTATGATCACAATGTCGTATCGGGCCAAGCCGGAAGCCACAGAAGCACACGAAGGCCCTGAGCGGGTGCGGAACCGCCAGCTCCCAGCCTCTGATGGGCGGCGAAGCCCCGCGAAACCAAGTAACGCCACGAGAACCATCGCCAGCACAGCAAGCACGAGCCTTGGAGAGGGGGGGAAGCATGAGAACGGCCCCCCAGAGGCGAGCAGTGGTGCCGGAAAGCGGCGTGGGGGCGTGAGGCTCCTCCGGCGACCAAAGTGAGGGGAGAGGCGGCGGGAGGCGTGATTGGCCAACACACCAGAGGCTTGGGTTGCGGCTCCATGGAGCAGTAAGGAGACAGATGAAGATACAGGAGATGACGATGACGATGACAATGACGATGACGATGACGATGACGATGACGATGACGGCGATGATGATGGTGATACTGATGATGATGGCCCGTTAACGACGGCAGGTGTCGGTGCTGCTCTGACGGATGGAGAGCCCCGGGACCTGAGACAGATCGGCAGAAAAGTTCCGGTGACAGATCAGCGGAGAAAATGTTGGCGACAGATTAGCATGCGCATTCCAGGACAATCTTAGCCATCCGATCTAGAAACCCGTGTCTTAAGGTCTTAGAAGTGCGACTGTGAAACTGCCACCTCTTCTCAATCATGTGTCTTCTATACCATCATGGATTCAAGCAAGCTAGCCAATGATGATGACGCACGCATGTTGTGCAACTGCAATGAATATACATCCCCACACCTGCTCCCCCCTACAAAAAAACACACAGATCCGTGTCAAGTGAAGGACATTCGAGGCTAAGTGTCCTGGTGCCCGACTGAGAGCGTTTTCAAGGTGTCCGTCTCAGCAACCAACTTGTATGGTGCAGCCAGCATGGCACGCACGTTTCATGACGAGCCTCGGGCGCCAGAGGGGCACTTTGGATGCCCATGATCCACACAAGGGTCGGCCGATCCGGCCGTCGGCGTCAGAACGCCGGCAGAGCGACTCGCTGCCGGTCAGGCGTTAAGAGTCACCGGTGTCTGCGAATTCTTAACAACCAGGGTCGGCGATCTCGTCGTTCTGAGTCGACTCAACTCAAAACGATTTTACCACTATCACTCAAAGACCCGAATCGACGATCCCGCTGTCAGAGCGCCGACGGAGAAGCAGACTCGCTGCTAGTCAGAAGCTGAGTTCGGTGCCTGAGAACTCTCACAAATGTAATCTAGTCGTCAGAACGCCGACGGAACAGACTCGCTGTCGGCCAAACCGAGGCCTCCAGAGGAGAACGTCAGAGTGAGCTACACGCGAACGTCAGTGCGATCTCTAACTGGAAGGTGGACGCTACTATGACTGACGAGCGCCTACACGCGAGCAGCATGTGAGCCACGTTCAGAGGCACGAAAGCTACTACTAGGTGGTGTTCCTGCGTTGTAAACCATGAGGGTTTAGTTGATTAGGCGCTTTAAAATGACACAGAAAGTACAAAGGCGGCAATGTCCTCTTACGATGGAGAGATGAAGGGTCACGTCCCGCCGAGAAGGCCTCGAACCGCATCGATCTTCAGGTGAATTCCTGCATTCTTTGCGGTTCCCGCGGCGGGTGGAACCTGGGCGCCACGTGGAGCGCCACGTGAAGTGCAGCGCCGCCGACCTAGCAACCGCTACAGTGACTAGTACTGTACATTATTCCGTCGACTGCAGTGAGGGGAAGCATCTTCTGGTGGCATCCAGATTGCGGGGCGGGGCGGAAGAGGAAGGAATTGATAGGCTCGGTGTGCGTAGTAAGGCAGGCACCCTGGCAGCACAACACACTGCAGGTGTGCTGCCGCGGGTTCCGCAGCGCAGGCAGGCTCGGATCGCCGTTGATACACTTCCGCCTATCTAGGCGCGTTTCGCTAATGATCAGCCGCACTCCAGGCAGCCAGCACAATGGTACAGTAAAGTACAACCCATTACACGATACTGTCACTACAGAACAGTGTACCCAGTACAGCACAGGAATATTCTCTAAGAAGGTCATTATTACTGCTCCGCTGCGGCGCAGCGTCGGCTGGGGCAGCCCTCCTTCCGAGTCCCCCTACCCGTCCCGACGCTCTGCGGTGATGGCTGACTCAGCTAAACAAGCTGCGCCTTGCAACTTCGAGGCTCGTCCTGTGAACTAGGGCTGTATTGCAATTGCTGCACTGTTCTGTACTCGGTGGTGCTGTTTTGGTCGGTCTGTCCCTCCCTTCCCCACGGCAGCACAGCCCTCCCTTTCTCGCATGCACCTGTCCCTACCTCCATCATCCCCAACAGTCCAATTCCTCCCTCACCCGAGCCGCCAAAATGCATCCCCTGCTACATGTACTGTATCAGCAGATATTATGGACAGGAAAGGCATATTCTGCCATCCCCCCGCGAGTATGCGATGCGACACGCATACGGTGTGCTGAAAGCAGCCGACACTACTAATGACGTCAGCAGCACAAACGAAGGATGCAACTGCCAAGGTGGTTCCCCAGACATGAGATCGGCTAGGTGTACTCGGGGCAAGGGGTCACTCGGTGGTTTGGTTTGGACGGGCTACGTCTACAATCATTCTCCACAGCGCGCCCTGAACTTTCTCTAACCGCGTGGGCCTAATAAGGGCGGGTCACTAAAGTACATGCTCTGTTCAACACCGAGTTCAGTTACCACTTTTAGGTGTGTAACCATAAATCATGCCTGTCAGGAATTTCCATTCCTTACTGAGTCGTATGCTAGCGTGTACACCCGAAATCCTCGACTCGTCACGTTCGGCCTCATTTATTAGCCCAACCCTTTCCCGAGTCGCGTCCGGCACTGTCGCCACATTGCCGAACCTACCCACGTTTCGAGGTTATCGCCCTAGTACGTCAACCCCTATATAACCTCGTGCCTTCATTACAATAGCGACCTTGTATTCTCACATTATAGTTCATTGATACTTCCTACATCATAATAGTCTTAGAACTGAATGAATTAGTGAGTAGAGAGAGAGTACAGGTGAGTATACCTAAGTGTTGTACCCTCTAAGAGGTGACCCTATACAGTCTATGCAAACATAGGAGATACACATATTTGACACACCCCCTAGACTGCATAGGGGCAGGTCCTGAACAAGCAGCTCAGGGCGGCACTACTAGTCCAGCCACTGAGACAAGGGTCTAAAAGACCAGTCAGAAGGAGTACATCCAAGGCAAGAACAAGACCAGGGCGGCACTACTAGTCCAGCCACTGGAAAGGACACAAGTCCAGTCTGAGTACACATATATATAAAAGACAGTACAAAGTCAAAGCCCTAGCAAGTGAGAGGCTACAGGAACTAGACCAAGCTGTACACAGTGCCGCTGATGATCTTTAGGCGCAAGCGCCTTCGTAAAGATATCAGCTGTGTTGGCACCTGAGGCCAAGTGTACTACGCGAGCCTGGCGGCGCTACTGTAGCTCGCGTAGGAGGAAGTACCGCGGCTGGATATGCTTCGCTCTGCCCTCGAGTCGAGGCTCCTAACACAAGAGGATCATGGCGCTGTTGTCAGCGTACAGGACCGGGGCAGAGCTAGGCCGCTCACCTAAGTCACTGAGCAAGAAGGTCAGCCAACGGAGCTCCTGTGCCGCCATGGCACCAGCGTAGATCTCGGCCTCACAGCTGGACTGGGCAACAGACGAGGAGCGGGTAGCTCTCCACGAGACGGCACCTGAATCGAGGCTGAAGCAGTAGCCCTGGGAAGACCTGAGTGTCTCGGCGTCGTCTGCCCAAGAAGCGTCTGTGATTCCAGTAAGGACCACTGGCCTACGTCCTCCTAGCACTAACCCCATGCCCGAAGTACTAGCAAGATAACGCAAAACCCTCTTAGCGGCAGACCAGTGCCGCGATCGGTGTCTACCTGTGGCCACAAAGCGAGCCAGGATGCTGAGAGGGTATGCGAGATCTGGGCGAATGCAAGTCATCAGGTACATGAGGCAACCCACCAGCTCTGCGTAGGGGCCACTGGGCTCTACCGACACCTCAGAAACTGGAGCGGAGAGTCTGTGGTCTACAGGCAGAGGGGTGGGCTGTGCAGAAGAGAACTGAAGGCCGAACCTCTGAAGGACCTGGCGCACCAAGTGTGACTGAGTCAGGGTGATGGTGCGCGCTGCTCTGTCCCTGGAGATCTGCAAGCCAAGGTAACGGCGTAGTTCTCCAAGGTCAGTGCACGTGTGTCTCCTCAGCAGCTCTGCCGTCACGGAGGCCAGTGCGTCCCTGTCTGCTGTGGCAAAGACCAGATCGTCAACGTAAACAAGGATGTAGAACGGAGTCTGGCCAGCACGAACGAAGAGTGAGGGGTCGGCGGAAGACGGAAAGAACTGCATGTCAGCAAGGGTAGCACGCAGCGTGTCGTGCCACTCACGGGGAGCCTGCCGCAGGCCGTAGACGGGGCGCCACAGGAGCCACTGGGTCCAAGGAGGGAAGGTGCCAGTAAAGCCCTGAGGGCGACGCAAGTAGACCTGCTCGTGTAGGCTGCCCTGAAGGAAGGCAGTGGAGAAGTCGAGGGAGTGAAGCTCGTAGTCATGCTGAGCAGCTAGGTGTAACAGAACCCGAAGAGTAGTCATCTTCGGGGTCGGAGCGAAGGTCTGGAAGAAGTCCACCCCCTCACGCTGACTGAAGCCTCTAGCTACGTAGCGCGTCTTGAATACAAGCGGCTCTCCAGGAGGGCGCTTCACCTTGAAGAGCCAGCGGCCATCGACTACGTTCACCCCAGGCGGGGGAACTGCGTCGACGAAGGTGTCGGTGGATCTCCAAGATGCCATCTCTTGCTCCATGGCAGCTATCCACTGCGAGGCCCAGGGTCCCGAGGTCGCCTCAGCGTAAGTGCGAGGGGTCGGGATGTCGAAAGCGTCTGGGTCACCCTCAGGGACTAGGAGCATGGAACAGAGATGGGGAGCAGCCTCGGACAGGAAAGCAAGCTCGAACTGCCGGTCCTCCAGGACGTTACTGCCAAGGGCAGGAACACCCCCGATAGACGGAGGACAGGCAGGGTCAGAGACCAGAGCGGTGTAGTCAAGGCGGCGGGTAGAGGCAAAGTCAGCGACCGCAGCTACAAGAGCGTCAAGACACGAGACCGGAACAGACGGGTCGGTAACGAGAGAGGCAAGGACCCGAGGAACAAGAGGACGAGCGGCACGAAGGTAGTCAGACAGAGGGGGGGGTGCAACGACAAGGGAGGATGGAGGAGGCGACGGGAGAAGGGGAGGACGAGACGCGTGGGAACGAAGCAACATAGGGTGAGAGCGCAAGACAGGGGAGACAGGACGAGCACGGGGGGACGGCGAGACCAGACGAGAGACGGAGGAGTCGGGTCAGGAGACAGAGGAGGGGACACAGGGGGGGAACGAGGGGGAAGACGAGCCGGGGACGAGTTCGGCGGAGGGAACACCGGGCCGTAGACGGGAAGAGGAGGAGACGGCAGGAGAGGAGCAGTTGCAGGGTCAGGGGACAGAAGGTCGAGCAGGCGAAGGGCTGACACCGGTGGGGACTGCTGCTGCGGCGGCACAACGCCGACACCGGGACCGCAAGCTGCTCCTCGGCTACCACCGGCACACTCCACGCCAGCACCCCCAGAGGGAACACCCCCAGGGCCCGAAACCCCTCGAGCACCGGTACCACCCCCAGGGCCACCGGGACTAGCACGCACTCCAACGCCAGCACCCCCAGAGGCAACGAACGGCTGCTGCGACAGTGGCGGCGGCGGCAGCGACAACGACGGGTGCGGCAGCGGTGGCGGAGGTGACGACGGCTACGATAGCAGAGGCGGTGGAGGAGGGGACGCCTGGGGAGGGGCAGCCGGCGAGGACTGTGCCGCAGGACCACCAGAGTCAGAAGACTCCTCAACCTGGACCACCGACGGAAGAGGGGTGACGTGGGACACACCAGAGGGGGCAAGACGGGGAGGAGGAGGGGGGGGCAGGGACCAACGGGGAAGGAGTGACTAGGAACAGGGGGGGGGTAACCGGGGGACAGCAATGGGGGAAGCGACGGTAGAAGGAGACGGACTCGTCAAAGGTGACGTCGCAATAGTGAAAGAAGCGGTGAGATGGTGGGTGGTAGAAGTGCCAATCGGACGCGTCAAGGGGAAAATCGAGGAAGACGCAGGGAAGGGTATGGGCAGTGAGCTTGTCCGTGCCGAAGGCACGGACGTGAGCAAGGCATCCCCAGACGTGGAATGCAGACGCGTCACCAGGAGACCCGGTCCAAAGACGGGTCGGTGAAACCTGCAGCTGCTGGGGGTGTAGCCACAGGTTAAGCTGGTGAGAAGCGTAGCGCACGGCGAACGGCCACAGAAAATGGGGTGCACCGGCATGGATCATGGAGGTGCGAGCCACCTCCATGACCAAACCGATGCGTTGCTCAGCGACCCCATTCTGCTGTGGGGAGTCCTGCAGGGTGAACGTCTGGGTGATGCCCTCCGCACGGCAGAAGCGACCAAGGACACCTAAGGCAAACTCGCCACCACGGTCGGAGTGAAGACGCAAGACAGGGAGACCTCGATGGAGACGGGCAGAGACAAGCCAGGGGATGAGAGCGTTAGGCACGTCGGCCTTCCGCTCCAAGGGAAAGACTGTGGTGTAGTGAGTGAAGTCGTCGACAAGCACGAGGAAGCAGCGCTCTCGACGCGGCCCATGGACGGGGGCGGGGCCCCAGACGTCCATGTGCAGGGTCTGCAGCGGCGCGGCGGTAGGGGGAAACGAGGAGGAGTGAGGGGGAGGAGGGAAAAGCGGGGAGAGAACCAGGGAGACCAAGGACAAGACCGTGCTGGGACATGTGACGCAGACGCGGGAGCGCCGGGTGACCTAGGCAGTGGTGCCAAAGGAGAGTCGGGTGAGTGAGGGACCGACAGGAGCAGGCAGCAGCAACCTGGATAGACGCAGCCACCTGAAGGGGCACCCCAGCCGCGGGGGTAACGATGTCCAGAGTGAACAGGCCGGACACCGGGTCCCGGGGGAACGTGGACAGGGGGGCACCAGTGGCGGCCTCGGTACAGACAGCATACCGCTCGTGACCAAGGAACGTAGTGGTGACGCCAAGGTCCTGGAGGCAGCTGACACCAACTAGGTTCCTGGAGAACGAGGGGATATGCAGACCTGTGAGAGAGCCCGAAGGGACCGCCGGACAAGGAAAGGTGGTGGAACTGCGGGCGACTACCGGACCGCCGGAGGGGTCAGCAAGAGAAAGGGCAGCAAGAACAGGAAGCAGGGTCAGTGTAGTGAAGTCGCGGAAGAAGCACCGGGAAGCGCCAGAGTCCAAGGTGAAGGAAACCGAAGCAGTGGCGTCCGGCGACGGGGCTACGGCGGAAGCACCAAGGCTAAACAAACCAGGGGCTCCTACGCCTGACGCAGCAGGGGAGGCTAAGCTAGGCACACCTATACTAGACGACAATGAGTAATAAGCGGGAAGCACACTAGAGTCATCAGCATACATCACATGCAGAGCAGAAACAATGGCATCCATGTCCATGTCAAAAATCTGAATCC